TGGTGCAATAAAAAATATACCAATAGAGTTGGGCCATAGCTCAGTGAAGGACACCAGCCTAGCCTGTCCCAGGCCCTGGCTTCCATCCCAGCACTGTTAATTTTTTTTCTTTTTATCTTTTTATTTATTTGGTTCAGGGTCTTGCTATGCAGTTCACACTCACAGTGATCCTCCTGTCTCAGCATCCTCGGTGCTGGAATTACAGGCATGTGCCACCACACCCAGTTTCGGGGCTAGCATGGTGCCCCTGGGGCTCAGGGGCCGCATGGCATACGGTACCAGGGATTGAACTCAGGTCTTTGCGCTTGCCAGGCAGGTGCTTAGGCCACTGAGCTGAGCTATTCCCCAGCCCTCCAGCACTGTTTAAAAGCATGAATTATATTTAAGGAAAGGAGGTTAAAAAAAAAAATAAGGCATACAGTGGATTCAGTCTTTAAATGTTTCATATACTTAATTTAAGCCTATTTTAGTTTTAAAATATCTAAGTTTTGTGTTGTTAAAATCTTAGATTTAGGGAAAGTTAGGTATACAGATGTTTAGAATTCTGTGACCAAGTTGGAAGGCTGGTGGGAGATCCCAAACTCTTGCTCTGAGTTTCTGAGGTTCTGAAGAGGCTCTAAAGGAGCACAGTTGGGTGGGAGCAAACAGATTCTTGAAGGCTCCCCCACTGCTGCCCTTGTGCATCTGTGCGGGGATCATCAGGGCAGGGGACCTTCTCCAGCCTCAATGGCTGCCCTCAGGCCATGTGCTTCTTGGCTGCACTGAACACTTGGTCTAGCCATGGCACTCAGAGGTAGACCGAGGGTGAGGTTTGTCTTTGAGCATATTTACATCTGTGAGAAATACACTAAAGCTGAGGTGAAATTTAGATCCTTAACCTTTTATAGCTCCCAATAGGTTGAGTATTTTAAACATCACCTTGAGTGAAAAGCTTTGCTAGCTCTGCCATTTCTGTGTCATAGCCAAGGTCTGAAGCTTGCCTTCCCATTAGTATAGACGGTTTGGGATTTGGGGACCACAGGGAGCGCTGCGCATGGCTCCGTCCACTCATCCTGCTGCTGCTGCTCTTGTCTGCTTCAAGATAGTGTGGGCAGCAGCTGAAGCCTTGGCTTCTCTGCCTGCGTCCCTGGCCAACTTCCCTGTGGTCAGTGCCCCAGAGAATAGCTGTCCGGATGAGGGCAGCTCCCCTGCAGCCAGAAGTCCTTTTAGTCCCCAGAGGGACACGTGTCTGTGACAGGAGAGTTGTGTGCCTCTGGGAGCTTCTAGCCTTGGGGACACTGAGGGGCAGATGAGCATCTTGGTGGCAGGGGCTAGCGCCTGCTGGCCATTAACTGTGAGTCACTTGAAGCTTCTGGTTGGGTCACCCAGATGGTCAGCCTCTCTAGGCCCTGCTCAGATGATCCTTTCTTGACTTAGGTGTCATGTTGGGTGCTGCTTATGCCTGAGAAACAGAGGTGTCCTATGAGATCTGTAGCTCTCATACTGGTCTGGGTAGATGAGCTGTCCCAGCCAGGTGTGCTGGGCCTGAATTTCAGGCATCAGACTGCATGGTGCCTTGGGGCACAGCAGTTCTCTTAGAAACTAGGGCGGGCAAGGATAAACTACAGGCCACACCCTTCCAGCTTCCAAAGCAAGACTCAAGGCATTAATTTGCGCATGACTGATTTGCTGTTCTCTGTTTAGGAGATGGCAATGATTCTAGCAACTGAGTTAGTTGCTCAGCTATGACAGTTCAGTTTTTCCTATAAACAGGATTCTGGAGCAGGAATTAAATTAGAATCCGGCCCTTGATTATCATCCTCAGAGCAGGCTGTCTTCCAAAGCAGGTCTTTGAAAATAGCATATTATTTTGTTTTTAGTGATTTCCAAATCTAGAACAGTAGTAAGCATGGAAAAGCCAGAACCCCAGAACACTTTTTGGGCTAAACTGAGTTTATAATTCTCTTAACCACTCAATTGGAATGCTGTGTGCTGAGCCAGGCAAGCTACACAGAATCTCTCCGCACCAATTCTGAGTTACTGTGGAAGTATTTTTACGTACAAGTGTTCCTAGTTCGTTATAAGCACATGACAGTTCTGATGTTTATAAAGGCTACAAAGCTAAGCCCCGAGAAACGAAATACAAAGAACCAAAGACATGGTTGGAGACTAAAATATGAAATCAGATCTCTGTCCAGATGTGAAACACATGAGATCTTGCATTTCTCAGCAGACATGGGAAAGGCACATAAAGAGAGGTCTGTTCTCAACATTTACTCACTTGGCTGTCGGAGAGCCAGATCTCCTTTTTACTTTTTCTTAGGTTTTGTAATCCTTGGCTCAGGAAAAGTGACTTTTCCAACATTTTGTTTAGCCCACTGGGCTGTGGGGAATACTGTTCTCACATTCCACATAATGGCTTTTCCATCACACAGCCCCGCAACTCCACGGGTGACACAGAGCAGTGCTGGCACACGTCACAGGAGGCAGAGGCCTGGCAGAGGCTATGTGCGTGTGTGCGTGTGCGTGCTGACAGATGCAGACTGTGTGCTTTTTGTGAGCTGCTGTGAGGGAATGGAAGGTCTGTGTTCTGAAATTACTTTCTGCCTTGCAGCTCTGATCGGAGGCTCGTCGTCCCCTCCTCGAGGTCCCGGCTTGCTTTCTCTGTGTCTGTGCTGGACCTGGACCTCAAGCCGTATGAAAGCATCCCTCACCAGTACAAACTGGATGCCAAGATAGTCAACTATTACGCAAAGACTGTGCATGCCAAAGACGACACTGTCATGTCGACTCGGTTCAAGGAGAGTGAGGATTGCACATTAGTTCTCCATAAGGTCTAATTTTACCCCTGCAGTGTCTTTGAAACTTGAATGTGAAAGCTGAATGATAGAACTATTTTCTAGTGTGTTGGATGACTTTTGGCTGTGAATGTTTTGGTTTAAACCCTTGTTGAGGTGAGACTGCCTCTGGAGACGTGAAACTGAAGAGCACTAGAAGCATCTTCCAGGACAAGGAATGTAGGACGTGAGTGCCACGTCCCAGGAAGCCACTCATGTTCTTAAAAGGAAGTGTCTGTTAAGCCCTGGGACGACATCCTGGGTAGTTCTTCCTTCCAACCAGGGCTTGTGTCTAACTCTCTAATGCGAAAAGCCTTATTATAAGACACAAGGTTTGGATCTCCTACTACCAGACTTCTTATATAGAAAACTTGAAATGTCATGAACATCTTATAGTTTGGACTTTTGAGAAAGCATGGATACTACTGGAACTTTCCCAGCTGTTACTGGTAACCTTTTCAGTGCAAGCCACAAATCACCACGGGCTTTGGTGGATCCCTCCGCTGCTGAGTGACCAGGGGTTAATGCAGATGTTGATTCTGAGTGGTGTAGACTCAGGGTCCCTGTGGAGGTGCCGAAGCCCGTGGTTCTCTGAAAGGTCAGTGGGGAGCACAAGACTCAGGTCAGGATGGACACCACTCATGCGAGCATTGACTTTGTTTTTGCTTTATGATTTTATTTTTAACTCTAGGGGGAGATGAGGCGTTCTTTCCTACCTGAAATTGCTGCTGTCGAAGCTGGAAGCAGAGCTATGCTTCGCTGAGTTGCTGGGGTGGGTGTGCAGACAGCCCAGTTGTCCGAGCACTCCAGTATCCCCAGTGGTGGAGGTCAGGGTTCCCTTCCTCTGCCACATTTCACCCTTGGGTTGTCTGAGTGCAAAAGATATGAGGGCTTGGGGCTCCACTGTCCCCTTGGGGGTTGCAGGAGTCCCTGATTCTTGAAGATACAAAGCCCCCAGCTTGTATGGAGAGGGTTCTTGTAGGGGTCACCAAAAGTGTGACCGGCTGCTATGAAATCATTGGGAATCTTGGCTTCATTTTTTATTCTATGGTAGGCTGTACAGACTATTTATATCATCATTTTGAGGGACTAATGAAGGTTTATTGTAACATATTAATGAAACCATGAAATTGTATGAAAATGCTACATGAAAAATGAGGAAAATATTTTGCTGATTGTAAATTTTTGTGGGAAATTTTGTGATAACTTGAAAATTATACTTGTTTGATTGAATCAAGACAACTTTTAGAATTTATTTTGAATTGTCAATATTTCTAAGTTTATTCTATCTTCAGAGATACAGAAAGACAATTATGCACTGAGATGTGGTGGTGCATGCCTGTCGTCCTAGCACCCTGGAAGGCTGAGGCAGGAGAATCACAAATTTAAGACTAGTCTGGGCAGTTTAGCAAGACCTTGTCTCAGAATAATGAAAGGGGACAGGGATATAGCTTAGTGCCATCTGGGTTCAATACCAGGTACTACACCAAAAAACAAAATCCCCCAAAACCCAAAACTTAGGCATTTGGACAGAATTGCCATACTCCTCTCCGTGTTGTGTGTATTAGGATTGGGACTTGGAGGCTCCTCCTGAGCTATATGTGAAACTCACATCTTGTGGAGGGAGGGAGTGGACTGTCAGCATTGTTTGGGGTCAGTCTGGGGTGGGATGGTCTTACTTGCTTGGGTCAGCTTTGACTGGAGCCTGGTCTGGGGCCTGGCGGGGGGTATCTGTATGGAAGGTGTCGTGGAGTCTCTGGCTAGCACCATCCTGGAAAGGCATCCCTGGGCATCATAGTTCCTGCAGACCTTCTACTGGGTGCCCCTGGTGAGAGGACTCCCACTGGCCCCATAATGCTATGAGAGGCTACTGCACCCTCAGTTTATCAAGGCTACTTGAAAGCAGCAGCTAAGGGCCAGTGAGATAGCTCAGTGGACTAAGCACCTGCTTTGGCAAGCACAGGGATCAGGGTTCGAGCCCTGGTCCCACATGCTGTGCTGGCCCCACCCCTGGGGCGCGTTCAGCTGGTGACAAAGTCTGGGCAGGGTGTTGCACACCTATAATCCCAGCACTGGGGAGACTGAAGAGGATCACTATAAGCCTGAGATGTGTAGCAAGACCCTGTACCAAATAAATGAAAAAAAAGAAAGCAGCGGCTGGACGTTTGTGGCATTGTCAAGACATGGAGCTGCACACATGCCTGCCTCCAAGAGGCCCGGAGCAGGAGCCAGGTGGGGTCCCTCTCTGCTGGCCTGTGTGACCTATCAGTGTGACTACGTATGGTGGAGGGGCTGGTCCAGCTCCTCTGTACCTATCCAAGGGCCAGTAGCCACTCAAATGTTAAACTTACCTTACAAAAACAACCTATCCGTGTCATTGCTGACATTTTGTAGCTGTCACTTTTATTGGACATTAAATAGCTGTGCTTTTCACATCGAGTCTAATATGCTGAAATACACAGGAGGCATTTCTTGAGAGTGTGGCTTCTACATGGAAAAGATTAAGGCGGACTGCTCTTGTACGCCTCTTATCCTCACGTCCACCCTTTGGGAGCTACTCATTCCTTGCATGGAGCAATCTTATCAGGCTTTCAACAGCAGCTTCAATTCCAAGCACTCCTAGCAGGGTCCGGAAGCTCAGAGGAGCATTTTCTATGACTCCATTCTTGTCCAGCTGTAAGGCTGTGAAGCAAGCATAGACCAGGTAAAATCTCTGGTAGCACCAACCCCTGCCCTCCCAGTCAGCCATACAGCAGAGGAGGTGCTGGAGCAGCTGGGGCTTGGAAGGGCTTCACCTGGGGTTCCAGGAGAAAGATGGCTCCCTCTTGCTCTCAGCCTGTGAGGCCTAGGGTTAGGGATTTCCTCTCATATGCTTTGTGAATGATTTATTGATAAATATTTTGAAAACTGATATGCAAAGTATTGATCAGCAAGATTTTCAACTGTTGATTCTTCTCAGGTAAAATCAGATGAAACATAAACAGGTAGCTTAGTTGGGCATACAGAGAAGAGTGCTGGGAAGGTCTTCCATGCCCAGAGGACCTACCTCGCTGAGGAATTTTTGTGAGAAGATCCAGCTTTGGTAAAACCTTCCCTTCTTCATCTATTTGTATCCTCCAAACAATCACCAGTTCAAACCTGAATGGGGACACAAATAAAGGGTTTTTGAAACTTGGTTAAAAGACTAATGCCGGTGGTGGCACACACCTTCAATCCCAGCTACTAGGGAGACTGATGCAGGAGTCAAATTCAAGCCCAGCATGGGCAATTTAGTAACTTAGTGAGATCCCATCCCCGCGGGGGTAGTGGTGGTGGTGCTATAGCTCAGTCAGAATTCAGTCAGCAGTACTGTTGGCGTGTGGTCCCTACCTGTCCGCACTGGGCTCGCTGCTCCTAATAACTGCTACCCACTGTTGTGGAGGTAAACACAGGACAGATGGAACCAGAAGCAGGACCTGGGTAAGCCCAGTGCTGGGATTGTCAAAAGATAACCTACTTCGAAAATAATCTGGCTCTGACAAAGCTATACACATGCCTATACCATAGCTCAGGAATGTCATCTCGTGGGTAACAGCCCAAGAGAAGCCTGTGTGTGAGAAGGACCAGGAGTGAGGAATACAGCCAGAAAATGAATGCGGCCACAGGACAGGCAGGGCCTGGAAGTCTGCTTAAGGTTCCAAAGTGCATGGACCAGCAGGCACTGCCTGTGCACAGGAGGCACGAGAGTGGCTCTGGGCAGAGCTGGGGAAGTGAGGCTGAAGGGAGTCGAGCTGTGGTCTCCATCTTTGGCTTCCTTGGGAGCGCCACTGCTCACCCCAGCTTCTGCCCTCCCACACACTGCCTTCTCCCAGGGTCCCTCGCAGGTTTCTGAAGGAGCCACAGTGGAACTGTTACTGCAGCTGGTGGCCCTTGCATGCTCCCAGCAGACTTCCCCCTCCGCTCTAAGGGAGAGTGGAGTCTGGTCTGTCACTCCTGCAGGTGTCTGCTGAGATGCCCCGGACTGCTCCAGTGACTATCTGTAGCCCTCCTTAGGATCTGTTTAGTTCCTGTTGCTTTACGACTCACCCTGGGTGGCGAGCACTGCAGATCCCCAAGCAGTGGGAACAGGACCCTTCTGGGAGGTGTACTATGTCTGGGTATTTGTCCTGTATGAAGAAGAAATGACCACAGTCAGAGCCACTGAGAGAGCGAGGCTGACAGCACAGGGACTTTTTTTGGGGAACTGGCTGAAAATCGGGGAGAAGCCCTGTAGGAGCTGAGTCATACATACCACACACTGGTTTCACCTTCTCTATCTTACTCTGCCTCCTGCCTTCATCTGTCACCACACATATGCCCACCTAGTCCGGGCTTTTCCACTGCTAGGGGGCCTCTACAGCCATTACTGTCCCCAAGGCTAACATCCCATGTAAGCACCAGTCTCATCTGGCTTCCTCTTCTCCATCTCCTGCCTGGGACAGCTCCTCATTGGGTCATCTCTCAGGCTGGAGGGGTCAAAAGCTTCTAAGCTGAGGTCTGCTGCACTCCACAGTGGAGACTTGTAAGAGAGGTCTGGCCTCTGTTGTCAAAGCCTTGTGAACTAAGGCTCTTGGGCTGCCACCCTGCCACAGGGGATGCCCCTTGCCTGTCTACCCTTCCAGTCCACCCAAGTATCAGGACCCCTCCCTGCCCAGGTACCTGAACTGTGGTGGAGACACTTGGCTCACACCGTAAGGGAAAGCATACACTTTGATCAGAGTCAGCTCTGTGGTGAGATACGTACAGTTTTCCAACCATGAATGTTGTAACAAAGAAACTGTTCAACTTTAGAAGTTTCTAGGTTTGACACCCTAGATACAGTGCCACGTCAGTGTCAGCCTGTTTACTGTTCAGTGGAAAAGACAAAGCTGGCTTCATAGGCATTGGAAAAGAAGATGCGCATTTACACTTGATATGTGGCCCAGTGGCCCAGTGGTCTCAGCTTGCTACAAGTCTGGCTGCTCTAGTGAGAACAGAGGCTGGAGGTGACTCCACTGTGAGTTCCCAGGTCCTAGGTCAGCCTCAGACCATCTCTTCTGTCCTCTCACAGAGCCCGACGTAGAGATGGCAACCTAGGGGTGAGGCTTACATCATTGGGAGCCCCACCATGGCCACACCCCAGGAGCCTCTACAACCCTCCCAAAAGGACAGTCAGCCCAAGACTTGACTGAGCTGGGACATGGGTAACAGAGTGTTTCTGGACCACAAATAGCCACTGCATGGAACCAGGTTAGCACCACCAAAGGAGGTTGTGTGGGGACAAGGACATGCACAAATATGAAGAAAGCAGCCCATCGGGGAGCTGCTGTCAGCACAGGCGCCCTCACCACAGCACGCTGTGAGTGAAGCTGCTGCCAAAAGGCCGGCACATCCAGCACAGACCTGGGGTGGGCCTGGGGTCAGCTTACAGATAATCACTAATTCCAGCTAAACAGTTTGGGGAGGAAAATGTATACGTAAGTTATTTAAGTGGAAAGTGTTGGTTGATTTTTAAACCTCAGTCTCCTCTAAATTAATAACAACTGTTTGGGGAACATAAAGGGGAGCGTGTGAACGTGGCAGTTTAGCTTCCAGACTGTGCTTGGCAGTGACACATGGGACTCCAGGGACAGCTGGGCTTGGGCCGGCTCCAGGGTGGGGCCTGAGGCTCAGCCTCCCAGCACCAGGGAGCAATCTCTACCTTCCCAGGCCTCTTCCTTGCAAGCAAAGGAGGGTTTAATGTCGATGTTCCTACTAAGAGAGTATACTCTTTAGTTTTCACAATAAAGAAAAGCATAGAAATGCTGACGTACGAAGAAGTCAGATACTCCAAATGAACATGTTTCTGGAGGACATGGAGAAGTTAATGATGCTGCCCCAGTTACCCAGTGCCATTCACCTGTCTGGTGAGCTCCACTCCAGGGCACGGGTGGAAATAGGAAGGAAGCAGTCAGATGACAGGACAGCCCAACAGGCCACCAACGTGGTAGGCTGCTGGCCGTCACTGAGAGAAACATGTTGTAAAGGCTGACAGCATAGGTGGCTTTGAGAAGGAAGATAGCACGCTTGTGGTCACTCAGGATCAGCACATCTCAACAACAATTTAAAGTTTTAGGTGTAACTGTGACAGTAATAAGTGATGATCAAATCAAGGTGAGTATGGTGGCGCACACCTGTAATCCCAGCTGCTTCTGAGACTGAGGCAGGAGGATGGCAAGTTGAAGGCCAGCCTGCTCCACTTAGCCAAGCCCTATCTCAAAACTAGGGCTAGACATCTAGCTCAGTGCTCCCTGGTCAATTCCCAGTAGTGCAAATACAGAACAAACTCAACAAGGATTTAAGATGGACATTCTTTGATGAGGCAGAGACGTGTGCAATACATCTTAAGAAGCTTTTCATGGAGAGTTGTTGCACACTAAAAAGGTCAACCGGAAAACTAGCAGCCTGACCTGGAAAGCACCTGGCCAGGGCCTGGAAGGACAGTCCTGGACCTGGGGCTCCTTCTAGTGCATGAGGCTTGCTCTCCACACCACCACACTTTGCAGAGCAGAAGAGCAAACGGGAAGCACGTGCATCCGCAGGCGTCACCAGGAAGCTGTGCTGTGAGGGTAGCCTTGCTGGGCGCTGTGCACAGGGGCAGCACAGGTGCTGGTGCTTCTGCTCGGGCAGCTCCCCGGGGAAGCCCACTCAGAGCACCTCCAAGGAAGGCAAAAGCTGTGATTCAGATGAGTATTTACTCAGCTGCTGGCCATATGTGGGAAGTCTCCAGTCAAGAACTCTCCTGGTACTTTGGCTAAAAAGACGGTGGCTGTGGGGAGCTGGCAATTTCATATCCAGCCTGACTCACACCTTTTGCCCACCACAGTGCTGTTGCAATGGCTGCTGGGTTTGAGTCCTAACGATGATAGAGGAGCAGTGCTAAAGAGGGGTGACTACCTCATCTCCTCTTTGCTAGTCCTCAGATGAAAGGAGAACCCTGGATCCTGTGAACGTTTAAGGTGTCCACAGATCTGTTCATCTCTGGGAAGGCAATAAAGTCATGATGAATTGTATCTGGCTAATTCAGTGATTGATTTTTTTTTTTAAAGGATGAGAAATAGTTCATGTAATAGCCAACTCAAGTACAGTAATACTTCGGCTATCAAATGGCTCTGAGCTCAAAATTCCCACTCCTAGAACAGTGAAGTTCAGAAAATAGCTGCTTGGTGTTTGGCTCCTTGCATGTTAAGTCCAACTTGAAAAAACCTGTATGGGCTGAGACTGAGTCATGGGTTATACCTTGCCACGAGCACCAGGAAGCAACCAGCGCTTCAGCCTCAGTCCCACGCTCGCACAGGCAACATACAACACTTGTTAGTGCATTAATACTTTTGTGTGCTTTATTTGCATGGCTCCAAAGAAAGTTAGTAATACTACCAGTAAAGCTAGAGAGAACTGAGACCCACAATGGAGTTAAAGAAATCATTACAAAATTTGGTAAAGTCTTGGAAAAATGAATTTATACGTGTGCCTTTTGGATCTTTGGACCAATTATTTGATTCAACATTATTTCTTATGGGAGAAATACGTTCAGTTCTTGAACTTTCTGGTGTTCAAACACGAGTTTGGAATGAATTGAATTCAACAACTGTAGCACCACTATATAATTCAGTGAGTTCTACTATATTTGCAACCTTATAATTTTTACATTCCTGAATATTTTCATCACCCCATAAAAAAACCCTGTACTCCTTAGCTATTTACTTCAGGCATGTGTAACCATCTACTGCCTATCTAAAGATTTCCCTGGTCTAGTCATTTTATAAAAGTGGAGTCTTGTGCATGTATGTGTGTGTTCCCTTCCCTTCCATTGCCAACTTACATCCCCCTGTATGAGTATTTACTACATTTTATTTATCTGTTCATCAACTAATGGGTGTTTTTTACTTTTCAATACTGGGAATGAGAATTCTATGAACACTTGTATACGTGTTTTTGTGCGAACTCTGATTTCAGTTTCCTTGGTTATATACACAGGAGGGAACTGCTCAGTTTTGTGATGCTTCTATAGCCATTCATCCAAGTCCACGAGCAGGGCGTGAGGTTTGAGTTCTCCACATCTTTGCCATCTGTTCCCCAGCCCACCTCTATGCTTAAAAACAGAAACAAAAACAAAACCCCAAAACAAAACGTAGCCATCCTAGTAGATGCAAGGTGGTATTTGTGTACCAGTGTTGTCTGCTCGGTGCCTTGTGTATTCTTTAGATTATTTATTTTGCAGTTACAATAGTCTTACATATTCCATATGGAAGTCACTCATCAGATACATAGGTTTACAAGTGTTCCTCCTCGGTGGCTTGTCTTTTTATTTGCTAAATGGTGTTATTTGTTTTTTTTTTTTTTTTTTTTTTGCGGAACCGGGGATTGAACTCAGATCCTTGCGTTTGCCAGTCAAGCGCTTATCGTACTGAGCCATCTCCCCGGCCCCTAAATGGTGTTATTTGAAATATAGAGTTTTTAATTTTGATGATGTCCAACTTATTTTTTGATTGTTTTTGGTATCATAGCTGAGAAACCTCTGCCTAATCTACTGTCATAGAGATTAATATTTCTGCTTTAGTTCTAAGAGTTTTTCATTTTTGGTTCTTAAAATTAGGTTGTTAGCCTTTAACTTTTTAAAGCTCATTTTGTGTGTTATGTGAGGTAGGAGTGGGAAAGACTGTTCCTGCCTCATTTGTCTGGGCTCAGCTACATTTTCATATCTATTTCAAAACCAGTTTGGTTCAGAGAGAAGTAAGTTCAGTGATCTTATACTGTGGGGCAAGTTTCTCAGGGTCAGACTAGAGAACCATATGGAAAGCTGAACCTCAGGCCTCCCTTTGTATCTGAAATGTGAAAACAGATAAATGTAAGAGCTAAAACCATAAAACTTGTTGGATATCTTTGTAATCTTAGACTTGCCAAAAAATTCAGACACAGGATGAAAAGCAGTGACCATAAGAGCAATATAAATTGGCAAATAAACTGATTTCATCATAATCAGAAACTCTTAAAAGCCATTGTAAAGAGTAAAAGGCCAACCTCAGACTTAGTAAAAATACTGCAAAAAACAGTATGTAAGGATATGACTCAAGTAGCAAGATAAACAATTCACTTTTAAATAATAGGCAAACGATTGAATGACTCTTAAGAGCTGTGGATCGCAAGAGATGCACCACCAGTTGTTAGACTGACACAAATCATAACCATGAGACCACCGAAGTGCTGTCAGAATGGGTGACAGCAAAGTGACTAACGACATCTCACAGTGCGCACTGCTTCCAGCCACTGAGGAACGCTGGAGGCTTCTGATACTAACATCGCTTCCCATGCGGTTCAGCGATCCCACTCTTACTGTTCACCCAAGAGAAAGCACAGCACATGTCCACACA